AACATAAGGGTGCATGTATCTTTTCAAATTAGTGTTTTGTTTTCTTGGGTAAATACCCAGTAGTGGAATTACTAGATCATATGGTATTTCTGTCATCCTGTCTCCTTTGAATTGCCTTTGCTCTTTTGTCAAAGATCATTTGACTATATGTGTGGATATATTTTGGATTCTCTCTTTTGTTCCACTGATCTATTTGTCTATTTTTTCATCCGTACCACAGTCTCGATTACTGTCACTTTATGTAGTAAGTCTGGAAATCAGATAGTGTCAGTAGTCTGACTTTCTTTTTCTTTGTATTGGTTATTCTGGCTCTTCTTCCTGTTCATATAAACTTTAGAATCACTTTGTTGATACTCACAAAATAATTTGGTGGGATTTTGATTGAGATTATGTTGAATCTAACATTGAAAAAATATAATAACCATGAATATAAAATACATATATTTAACTTTTAATATACAATTTTTATTAAAGATGAAAAAAGAAACACTAAAGGTTTTGTGAAGTCGAAGTGCGACTCGGATTAGGAAATAAATGAAGAAGAAAAATTCTTTCTCCCTGTCTCTCACACACACATTTCCACTTGCTGTTCTAATGTGTGAATCATAAGCCTTCAGATTAGCACAGAATCACACATCTTAGTAATCAAGAAGCTTGGGTAGAAGTGAAGGATATAAGTATATGGGTACAGCCACGTAATTTGGAGAGATTCCTTTAAAACTGCAATAATGATTATGCAGTGATGTGATTATTAGGTGTGTGAATTGAAAATCAGGTGCTGCTGTTGTATGGATTCAGTTTAAATGGGTTTAAAAAAACCTTATCTCTTAGAGATTCCTTTTTACAGTTATTCTGATCCCATTTTGGGGGGATGATTTTATTGGCTATAGTTCTAGAACAATGTTAAATAATATTGGTGATGGTGGACAATTCTTTCTCATGCTTCTGTAACTACTGGACTCATTTTTGCCCATACCTGTATTGGTTCACTTCTTCATATTCAACAGCCTACTTGGCCTGTGGTCAGCTACATAGAGTCTGCCTATGCTAACACACTGCTAACTGTCCAGTGTATTCCCCCAAACAGCATGCAGTCTTCTGTTGCTTTCACTATCTAAGTTCTCTACCAGAAATCCACGATTGTTAAAATCTGTATACAAATACAGATTTATGCCTGTCAACTTATGAGGTGTTGTGTCCAATAATTCCTCTATTGTCTCATATTTATTTTTCTTTACATTCTTTATGTCTTCAACCCTGGGTTTGTGCTTGTACTCTTGGAAAGTGATTTTGCCTCTCATTCTGTTTTAAAGGTTCAGATTTCTATGTGTGAACTGCATCATTCTCTTAGAATGTGGAATCTCAAAATCCTCATTATCTTTCTGTCCTGTTTTTTTCCTCTCCTGTCTTTAATAGTGTCCTTTTATTTTCTGAAAATAACCCGTTATATATTTACTTTCTCTTCCATCTTTGTTTTCTTTTGCCTCTTGACCTTCTCAGTTATCTTCATTTTTTTCCAGCAAAGTTCAGTAAGGTGTTAATGTTATTTCCAATGTATTGTCAGATGGTTTCGCACCAAATACACAAGTATAAACAAATTGTGTTAAAATTTACCAATTGGGGAATATAGGTGAAGGTTATATGGCATTATAGTATTCTTTTGACATTTATGTTAGAAATTTTTTTCAATATAAAGAAGTTGGAAATTATCGTAACAACAATAATACAATAGCAATTAGTTTTTATTTAACATTTACTATGTGTCAGGCACTGTTCCAAGCACTTTAACATATATTACCTCATTTGAGACTTATACCAACCTAATGAGGTAAGTACTCTTATTATCCTCATTTTATAGATCAAGAAAATGAAGGATTGTTAAAGTAACTTGTCCTGTTACTAGCTAATAATTGACAAAGCTGAGATTTGAACTCAGGTAATCTGTGGAGATAATATAAAAATAAGATATGGTCCCGCTTTCAAAGGGCATGTAATCTAATTAGAGGTAATAGCTATATAGATTTCTTTAATTTGTACTAAATAAATTAAGGATCCTAAAGTGCTAGTTTTATCTAGTTGAGGGGATCAGGAAGGGCTTTAGGAGGAAGTAGCATTTTAGTATGAGGAGAATATTTAAGTTTCATTTTGGATCTCATAGTGGAAGTATTTGAAATGCAACCTAAGGTATATGAACTTTATTTATTTTGCACTGGAGAACATTGAGAGTTAAGGAAATTATGGCCCAAAGACATTAAGTATTTTCAGTAGCTGGTTACTGTCAGTCAGGATTTAAACCTTAATCCTAGGCAAGAGGTAGCTCTTTTATACCATTGTGGTTTTCTAGATACCAAATCTTTGACCCTGTATTATTAGTGATAAAGACTTGTGACTCTTCCTTTGAATGTTTTTAATTCATTAGTTCCTTGCATGTGGTTAATATTTAGTCAACCTAAAATAAGCCTTACTCTGTACCTGTTTCTTGTAGATTGCAGACAAGTCTCCTTCAGTCTCTTCCCTCTCTAATCTTTGTTTTATTCACTTGGTAACATAGCAGGTAAAGTTTAATTTGATTATTAACTGGGATATTTTAATGTAACTGCTTCCAGATTATAATTTTAAAGTAGTAGCTAAAGAACTTTAGAATTTCAGCGATGGAAGCTTGAAAAGAAACAACCTAGGGGTTAAAATCCATGATCCTTAATATTCAGTGAGAGCAACAGCAACAAAAATAAAAAGCTAACTGGTCTCTGACATAGAGGAAAAGAATATATAGTCTGTCTTCATGGAGTTTATAATTTGGCACAGATTGCAAATGAACACAATATACTATGTCAGGTAATATGGTGGGGCATCCTAGAGAGCTCTATAAGGACACCTGTGGAAGTACCAAGCCCTGCTTTGGGGGATTAAGGAAGCTTTCCCTGAGGAAATGCCAACTAATTTAAGATGAAGAAGAGTTATCATTCTCCAGATCAAGTGTGCAGTGGAGGGCAGGGTGGGTAGCCTGGCCAGGAGTAGAGAGAGATTGCCATAGGTTTGGAGATGGGGGAGATTGTAGCGTGCTTCAGGCGATCTCAGGTAATTTGACTGTGGATTAAGAAATCAGTCTGTGGGAGGCAGATGTGTTACGGGATGAAGTTAAAGAATAAATTGGATTCAGGCTATCTTTGGCCTCATAAGCCATATTTAAGAGTGTCCCTGTCCCTGAAAACATGCCTTGCACTTTGTGCCATTGCTTTTCATTTTCATTCTCCAGAAAGCCTTCACTTTTCATTCCAGTCAAATTCAAACTTCATACTTTATAGTTCACCCAGGTTCTTTTCTGCCCAAGAAAATCTTCCAAAGTATGTCAACTTTTTTCTTTGAAAACATTGCTATCTCATTCTTCATAGGCCAGATGATTCTATATTTTTGTTTTACTGCTTTGCTAACTTACTATTACTATATATTTTTTATTATTTCATGTATAGATTGTCCATCTATTCAGTAATGAATGGTTAAATCATATTAATTAATTGATCAGTATTTGAAATTTAATAATTCAACTATAATTTGAACCAATAAAAATAAAGCAGAATTATATATAAACACATTAGGTCTTAACTATAGATCAAAATTTAAAAGTTCTTATATTTTTTTTCCTTGGTTAAAACAAAAATCAGACCTGAAATCAAATATGAAAAATAGTTTCAGAGAAATATAATCTTGTAAAAACCAAGCTTATATTGAATATTTAAGAGTTTGGGGATTTGGGAATATTTGTTTAAAAACTAGAGAATTTAGTGAAAACCATGTTTCTACTTTTTCAGTCTGGTTAAAAATTAATGTGTTGTGGCTTTTGCAAATTTAATGCATCATGAATTTAACTTTAATCCTGATATGTTAACATAGCCATTATATTGGAGAGAATACTCTTTCAGTGTGTTATTTTATATATTTTATATGTTTTTTATTTTTATATTTAAATATACATATATATGCATATATTATTGACATATATAAAAAGTTCATGTCTTAAGAACCAACTGGAATTATGTATTATGTGAATGAAGTAATTTCAAAATTGTTGTAGCTAATGACTTCTGATTAAAACATTGTGTTTTTCACATCCATGAAACACATCAGCCCTAGTTGTTTTTTTTTTTCAGCATGTATGTTGTATGAAACTAAAGGGAAGTTTAAATTTTCTTAGAGTCAATTTTTTTTTTTAAAGATTTTATTTATTGACAGAGGGAGACACAGCGATAGAGGGGGAACACAAGTAGGGAGAGTGGGAGAGGGAGAAGCAGGCTTCCCGCCGAGCAGGGACCCTGGACCCTGGGATCATGGCCTGAGCTGAAGGAAGACACTTAACGACTGAGCCACCCAGGCACCCCTTAGAGTCGATTTTTTAAAAATATAGTTTAAGATTAGGAAATACGTGGTGTGTATAAGACTTTTATAAAACCAAGTTTAACCTTTATTGGAAAAGAAGATTTATCAATAATGTAAAAACAAAATAAGAAGTAACAGTTCGTCTGTCTTAACTGTTTTCTGGGACTTACAAGAGACCGGAATCTAGGGGTATGTGACCAAACTGGGAATTAACATAGGTAGCATAGTTATGGGGCTAAAAAAAGATGTGAAGTTCAAGAGGCCAATTAAAGTCAAAAGCTAAAGCGCAGACAATCTGTTCAGGCAAGGAAAATAAGTATAATTTTTTTCAGGCAAGGCCTTTTCCTAGAGTTTTTTGTTTCTCTCCATTTCGTAAGGAATAAGGTTTATTCACCAATGTGTAAAATGCACAAAAAGGGGGAGGAGTAAGAAGATAATTATATTAATGAGAACTAGAACTGGTTGGAAATTTTGGTGGAAACAAATTCAGTGTCTGAGGTAAGCAAAAGTCAAAGGCTATGTGATAATGATAATTGATTTGTAATAATCACTGCAATAATTTCGTTACCCTATTTCTTTCTGAAATTATATATCTTTTCCTCCAACTTCTTCCCCTGCCCTTCCAGAGGCTCTCCCTATAGAGAATCTCCTTTGGGTCATTTTGAAAGCTATGGAGGGACCCCCTTTTTCCAGGCTCAGAAGATGTTTGTAGATGTACCCGAAAATACAGTGATACTGGATGAGATGACACTCCGGCACATGGTCCAAGATTGTACTGCTGTAAAAACTCAGTTACTCAAACTGAAACGTCTGTTGCATCAGGTGAGTATATGTGAACATTTTTAGCTCTGAAATTTTGAATTGCAAAATGGATTAACTTTACTTTTTTTTAAGTTAATTGGGTTTCTAACGTCTATTCAAATTTCTGTAGAAATAATGCTTGTAAATAATACATAACAAACTTTTGCTGGAGAAGAAAACATGGGATTTTGTGTGATATTTCAGTACAGTCCCCAACATTTATGAGCTGTGTGGTATTTGGTAAGCCAGTTTTTCTCCTGTTTCCTTATTTTTGTAGTACCTACATTTAAGGTTGTTGACAGAATTAGAAATAGTAGTTGTAAATTTAGAGATCTAATACCTGAAGTATGGTATTCAGGCATTTAGTCAGCAGTGGCTGCTACTATAATTTCAGCTAAGTAGGAAATAGACAGCAGTTTTTACTTACATAATCTCATAGTCATATAATTTAACTTTTGTTTGAAACCTTCAAGTTTAGTCTTCCTCAGTCCTTTCATTTTTTATTTGAGAAAATCTAGACTCATAGCAGTGATGTGATTCGTCCAAAGTCCAAACACACAGGGTGAGCTGATGTTAGAACCTGGCTTCTCATTCAATAGTACTTTTTTTTGTTCGAACTTACAGACAAGGTCAGATAAATAGCAGAAAACTAAGGAATAAAATACTAATTTTAAATTATGGATATCTTTTGGTTAGTTTTAAAGCTATGTTTATTTTTTGTAGACTAGCCACAGTTTGCTTAAAATTATGGTTGAGAATGAACAATCTAGCTTCTCTGCTGAACTTATTTTCTGGATTACCTTCCTCAGGATTGTATGTTATAGCTTCTTATGAACAGGGACCAATTCTTAGAATTCCTGGTGCCCATCAAAAGCAAACTCTTGATATATGCTCAGTAAAGGCTAGTTGAAGTGAAATATGGCTCCTTTGTTAGTAAGAGTAATGACGATTAGTATAAATATTCTGTTAAAAGTCATGAAAATTGTTATGTAAGTACTTGATGGTGGATTCTTTGGACTACTCTTCTCCATTCTTGTGGATGTTGGATTACTTTTTGAAAATAAACTCTGTGCTATGGCTGGGAGCAAGAAAGTGGAAAATCTTTTTCAAATCTGAGATCCTGGGACTTGTCTAGAGGGAGAAAGAGATTTCATGATTGAAATATCCAAACATAGAGCTTAGAATTTTAACTGTAACTAGGAGATATACTCTGGTTTATAGTATTTTTCTGCTCACTAGTCTGGGGAGATTTTCTTATCAGAAGCTTCAGAGTCAAAGGAAAGAGAAGGTAAGTGGTGGGGAGTAGCTAAAATATGTTCGATATATACTTTGAATCAGTCCTTGTACTACCTATACCACATACCCTCTTTCTTGTCTGGGTTTATTGCTCTGAAACATGAAGCATGATAAATACCAGCTAACCAGACCAGGCCTAATCTCTAATAATGGGAGAAATAGTATAATCCAGGAGAGAATACATGAAATGATAACCAATGATAAAGCACCATAAAAATAGAAAACATTTTTAGACACATTAAGAAAAACTGTGATTCTCTTAATGGTTCTTTTCTGTCATTATGACCTCTGAAATGTTATAGTAAACACTGGTCAAGTTAACTTTACTTTTTGTTTATGCAGTGAAAACAAAATTATGGGAAGAAAAATTGCAGAATCTTTTTAGGGCATCTTTGAAATTTCCCAAAATGCTAATAGAAGTTAAAAGCTGAATGAGTCTGAGATTTCATATAACTACCTCTATTTTTTCCAGTTTAATATTACTAAATTTAAAGAAGCTCAGTGTGATACATATACATAGTTTTAAAAAATTCACATAGTATTCAGAGACTTAATGAAAATGCAGTATTTCTGTCCTTCTCTCCACCTCAGTTAACCTTTTTAGTCTGAACAGATTACCATCTGAAGATTTCTCTAAAGCTATCATTCAGGGCTTTCCTTTTGTCATATTCTGGGATTGGGTATACTATTTCTTGTGTATCTTTTTTTTTTTTTTTTATTAGTTTATTCCCTCATTTTGCTAGAGTATATATTTAATTTACTTTCTAAGAGAGAGCAAATGGATGGTAAATTTTTTTTAGTTACTGCATTACTGAAAATTTCTTTTATCTACTCTTAATATTTGATATTAATGATTTGGCAGGGATGGAAGAAATGAGTTTTCCTTTAGAAGTCTGAATGCATTGCTTTTCTAGGATTCAGGTTAGCCACTGAGAAGATTCTACATTCTGATCCATTTTACATTTTATATTGCCAGTTTTTATTTTTCTGAGAGATTTGTAATTTTCTTTCTGGCATTTTAATCTTTTATTTCTGGCATTATATAGTTTCACAGAGATGTCCTGGGATTTGAGTTTTGCTGTAGTTATTTATATGTTTCCCACTTAATGTATGGGTAATTTAGTAGACTCTGGAGATTCATATTGTGTGAAATTTTCTTTTTTTTTTTTTACCTCACTTTCTCTGCATCTTTCTGGAATTCTTGGTAATTACAAACTGGAACTTCTGAATTGATTTTCAATCTTTTATCTTTTCCTTTCATATTTTCCTTTGGATTTGATTATCTTTTCTGGTATATTTACTCAACATCATATTTCAGCTCTCCATTTCTGTTGAACTACTTATTTTGGCAATTGTATCCTCAGTTCCAAGAACTCTTTATTATATACCACTCCTTATTCATATCATTCAATTTTTGTTTTATCAGTAACTATATTAAGTAGAGTGTTCCTGTTAGGTTTTGTTAAGATTTCTTAGGTTCATTGTATTATCTCTCTCTTTCCAAATAGTCATTTTGTTCTTTGTGTTTATTTTGGTTTCTTTCTTTTGGAATCTTTCTTCAAGTATCTAATGATTATTTGTTGTTTATTAATATTTAAGAGTGAGGAATTAAAAAGTTGATTCAGGACTCTTTGTACGTGGGCTGGGCTGGTCAACTGGCTGGCTTGATTTTATAGTACTAGATGGATAGTGGAGGACCCTCAATATCTATTGAGTGGAAGATTTTTCTTTCTTAGGTTGTTCTATTTTCTCCTGAGAAGCAACCTCTGATTTTTTTGCTTGGAATAGAGGTAGAAGACTGGAAGTCTGTTCTTGCCTTATGCAGACTTCCAGTTAATTCCCATCATCTTTAACCCTGATGGGTCATACTCTTACTTTTTTCTGTATCTAGCATTTTGACCCTCTTTGGGGTTGTGGGGAGCAAATTGGTTCTCTTTTTGTCCATGTTCCCCATCTATACATACTTCAGGTCTTTTTCCAGTCCTGCTAACTCCCTTATTAAAGTTTCTGTCCCCTTTGTAATGCTCTTTATCATTATGGTTTGTATGTTTTTAAAAATTTCTTCTCTGTCGGGGAGCCTGGGTGGCTCAGTCGTTAAGTGTCTGCCTTCGGCTCAGGTCAGGATCCCAGGGTCCTGGGATCAAGCCCCACATCGGGCTCCCTGCTCAGCAGGAAGCCTGCTTCTCCCTCTCCCACTCCCCCTGCTTGTGTTCCCTCTCTCGCTGTCTCTCTGTCAAATAAATAAATATTTTTTAAAAAATCTCTTCTCTATCATTTTAATATAGGTTTAAAAGAAAAGATAAAAGTATCTCTAGTCAAAAGTCCTCTTCTTTTGGGGCACCTGGGTGGCTCAGTCGGTTAAGCATCTGCTCTTGATTTTGGCTCAAGTCATGATCTCAGGGTGGTGAGATCGATCCCTGCCTTGGGCTCTGCACTAGGTGTGGAACCTGCTTAAGATTCTCCGTCCCCCTTTCCCCCTTCTGCCCTGCGCCCCCCCCCTTAAAAAAAAAAGTTCTCTTCTTTTTAAAATATAGAGAAAGGGCGCCTGGGTGGCTCAGATGGTTAAGCATCTGCCTTCGGCTCAGGTCATGATCCCAGACTCCTGGGATCGAGTTCCGCATCGGGCTCCCTGCTCAGCGGGGAGCCTGCTTCTCCCTCTCCCACTCCCCCAGCTTGTGTTCCCTCTCTTGCTGTGTCTCTATCAAATAAATAAAATCTTTTTAAAAAATGATACTTTATAAAGGGCAAAAAGATAAGATACAAACTGAGTGTATGATTGGAACTTACAGTTCTTCCCAGTATTATTTTTATAGATGTAATACCATTTCAGTCAAAATCAAAACACCTTTGTGGTATTCATGAAAGTGACTCCAAAACTGTTAACACCAAAGAGCTTACTCTTTGTGTTCTTTGAGAAAGACTGAAAGAGAAAGGGGGGTGGGAGGGAACTCTTTAGAGCAGGATATAATACTGACACAAATAGAAACATAAAGCAGTGGAAAAGAATAGAAAATGCAGACATATGTGCTGAGGTATCTACTAAAAAACAATTGGACACAGGATTTTAAAGGAAATGTTGAGGAAAAACTCAGTAGTATAGAAGCAATTATTTAGTTCATACTATAGTAAACAGGTGGTTTGAAGAGTTTATTTTTTTAATTAAAAAAATTAGAAGAAATTTACAGCTAATATTTTCAAGTAACAGAAGAAACCTGTAGAAAAGGATATCCTGTCTCAGATATATATAATTAGGCTCAATATAAAAGTTGAAACAGAGGAAATTTGTAAGTACTATTTGCTTAGAATATTACAGACCTGTCCATATATAACAATGTTCTAGTCAATTGAAATGCCAGATTTGGGCGCCTGGGTGGCTCAGTTGGTTAAGCGACTGCCTTCGGCTCAGGTCATGATCCTGGAGTCCCGGGATCGAGTCCCGCATCGGGCT